TCATTAGGAACAAGAACACCATTTCTTCTTACCAGGGTGTGTTTTAATTGCTGTTGCTGTTGTTCTTCTAGTTCTTGCAACTGCCGTTCTAAGTACATTAAATTCTTATGCTTTGTGATATAGTCATCCCACACCTGACGTAACTCGTTCTCTTCTTGTTCAAACTCTGTTTGCCAAGTTGGTCTTTAATAAAGAAACAAACATTATACTTCCAAGAAAATTGTGCAAACCTGTATATACTCATATACTATTTCAACACAATATTTAAGTTTCAAAAATGATACTGATGATTTATAAACACAAACTGAAGGCTATCAAAATGTGGATATTATTCAATTAATTCCATTATAGTGAAATTCAAATATTCTTACTTGATCTTTTGCAGTGCCTCTAGTCTTTTCTTATTTCTAGCTAATGATTCCCTCTTCTTCTCTATTTTCTCTTCAATCTGAAAATCCAAATTACATCATTAATCAAGGTTACTCATTAGCAAATCAAAATAGAAACCTTTAAAAATACATTTTGTGTAAACTTCTGTCTAGATAGGGTATTTGATTCAAAGTAAGAATCCTGGCACTCTTAATGCCAAAGACTATCCATTCTCAAGAAAAACTAAATTTATTACACTGAGCAAATTCTCTTTTCCCACAGATTTGATACCCACCTTCACATCTCATACCCATAACATTTACCTCTGTTCCCTGATGAACTAGCTGATCAGTGGATTCCTTGATCTGGGCAATAGCAGCAGAAAATGAGTGCAGAGCTGCAACAACTGTCGCTTCCATGCAATCTACATCTATAGCCTGCTCCAACACTGCTTGCCTTTTGCTCTGAAGGAAACAGTACACTTTTATCTGTCTGTGATTGACAAGAATAAAAAAGTGATAATAATAAAGGATTTCACATTCTTCTGCTACATAAATAGGAATGTAATGGGGAAAAAACTAATGCACTAGAAACAATCTTTCATAAAGAATATGACTTCACACTCAAGCACAAACAAATAATAAATTTATAACAGACATACATACATAGATATAAATAAACTTCATGCTAAAACTTTACATAAGGAATATTGTTGAACAATTCTTGCCTATGTTAAAAATATATATACACAGAATAACAAGTTGTAGGATCTGAAATTCAGAGTGACTGTATGTATATACATCTACCTATCTGTACAAGTTGCCCACACTTTGTTGAGACATACAAAATTTTAAAAGTTTGTATACATCAATTACAGTGTGATGTGGTGCATCCTTTATATAATTTTCAATTAACTACTTCCAAAAATTTCCTATATACAAGCTATATTAATACAGCCTACTCTAAGGTAAAATAAATACAAAGAATTTAATATTTACAGTACCATTTTCATTTATTTTTTTTATCACTGCACTAGGCAGCATATAAAAAATACAACAATGGGTGATTAATCTGTGTTTGGAATGCATAGGATGCATTTGCAACACACTTTGCAATGTGCAGGTGCATGTATTCATCAGGCTATGTTATTTCTATATACAATTATCTGTTTTGGAATAAGCAAATATTTGCAAAAGCACAAAATCTCAAATATACAATTTTTTTTCTTTTTATACATACCAATTTTAATTTCTTCTATTCCTTTATCTAACTACAGTACCTCATTCTTCAGTTAAGTGAGCAGAAAGGGGGATTTCTATAGTAGTACTATAATATTTTTGTATCTGCTTACTTCAAGCATAATCATAATTTTTGCTATGAATGTCACTTCCCAGCAGTAAATCCGACATTATTAAAATTTACTTTTTTAGAATTCGGTAATGCACTTTACACCATTACAATAATGCACACACACAGGGATACAAATTGGGAAAAATGATAGATGCTATTTAGCCATGCTTCCTTTTTTTGTGAAAATATCAAAAATATTATATTTTCACCACAGAAAAGAAAATCTGTGAAATTACAAATTCTGCTTACATGTTTTCATTATCTTATCCTTTAAAAAGATTTCACTAAATCAGAAATCATCTTTATCCTATTTGTTAAATGAAGACAAATCTATCTACAATTTTCAAATAGATATAAAAAGAACTACAGCATATCTTTACCTTTGTGTTATCATATGATAAAAATCTCATGATGATGCAGCTAACAAATTCTAATTTATTTTTCTAAGATAATAATAATAGTAGTCATTTCCTTAAACTACAATGCAAGGTGTTGAAAAAACTTTTCATCATTCCTACACACACACACAGTACAATATGATGAAAATTTTAAGCAATATTTTTCACCCACCCAAAAATAAATCATAATCCTAGGGAATGATGATGATGAAGCATATGATGATGATGGTGATCATGATCATGACGATGATAATGATGATGATCAAGATGATGCTGACTGATGACGTGATAATGATGGTGATAAGTTAATGATGAAACCGATAGTAATGATAATACTGACAATGATGAATATGAAGATGAAGACGATGACAAGGATGATGCAAAGAATAAATACTAAAATCAAATATGATTTCCATACTCTGCGACATATTGTCTGCCCAACATATATCCACTAAATGTGCTAAATGATTTTCATTCAAAAATGCTTCTCATGCATGGCACACCAAAACGGTTCTCGGTTTTTGTGCATACTGATGGTGGAAAGTATCTGAATAATTTACCTTTTTCTTATTAATTCCTGAAAAAGAGATAAGGTTGAGAATTGAATATTTTTTCAAGTCATTAGTGTATTCATGCCTCATTTTCAACTGAAATTCATTCAATCATGGTAAAGTACGATACATGCTATTAGGACAATTTAGAACACTACTTTTAAAGTAAGGAACATTATATTTTTTCCAAATGAGTATAATCATACAAATGTATATATAAGCAACTGACATATTACACTTCTGTTATAATATATTCTGACTGCTCAACTCAATACTGTATATCCATTTTCTATATAACTTTGTTTCATATTAGCATCCATACGCTCATAAATGTCTAAGCAGAAATATATCTCATTTATTTCAGTAAAGAGAGAAATTCATATATCTTATAAAAAAGACAAAAGTAAGGGTGCACTACTAATATATATATAACAACAACTAAGACAAAATCTCAGACTTTAGGATTATACATGCCAATCCTCTTGTGTATCACAACATCAATCTTATTTTATTTACAGATATGAGACTCCCAGGTAATTCGATCTAAGCACCTTCTTAAGTATATGTAATAACTCTCATTAACAAGTTGATAAAATCTGACAACATTTTCAAACCTACCTTGTTGTCAATTTCTCTTTGCAAACCATCATGCAGCGCAGTCGCATCCATTACAATAGTTGATGCAAGTTGACGTACTTCCCGCAATTCCTAAAATTGCAACCAAAATTAGTAACCAATATATTATGAAGCAGAACACCAAAAGATTTTTATAAAATGAAATTATGTATTCAGTCCTTGTTTATTTTCCTTTACTACACATTTTAGTACTGGTAAATCCAATCAGTAAGCAAAACTTACTTTTCCTGACAATGATGTTGAATACTTCTGACTTTCCATATCTTCTATGTTGCATGTGCTTGGGTTTAATGCTGTCTGCATTGCCTGATACAGACCAGAGGTTACTTTGAGCAATTCTCGTACAGCAAGCTTGTCTGCTCCATACAAACGCAGGGTGTTTAGACGCAGTCCTAATTTCTGATACTTGTTCATAAGAAGAAGAAAAGACTATTATATTACATTCTGCTGGAGATTCTTGTAAAACCTGATAATTAAATAACTAGTATGGTATGCCAGTGAAATGCTCTACAATAAATCTCTTTACAAGCAAAAAATTATAAATAACTTTCCATCACAGAATCAAGTACAAAATGCTAAGTACAGCAGCATATTGTATGTAACCAATTTAATGTAGATTCTCAAAACCTCTCTTCAGAGTATCCGTAATAAGTACATCAATACAGACGTAAGAAATTGCCAAAGCTATTAACTTACAAAGAAGACAGCTGCTGTGCGAATGAGTATCACACGGTCCTGCTCACACTCAGTAGAGTCTACAATGTCAAAATCACTGTCTATCATTTTGATGGACCATGTAAGGATCTCTGCCACAAGCGGGAAATTGGGCACTGAAAAATTCTCCAATGACACCAGTCTCGTGAAGCCCAGGGCCCTTAGATGTTCCACCAGGTCTATTGAAACAAAGAAAATTAAACATACACATATGAATGCACTGAATATAGAGATATATTTATGTATATGTTATTAGATTTGCATTTAGCACTACGATTAAAAAAGGTACATGTCCTGAGAAAGTCTGCATTCTGGTACTGTCATTGTTACTGATGGCTTAGTTTTGATATCTATTGTCCATTTATACTTGATTTAATCAACTAACCAACTATATCAATAATATGAATAATGGCAAGTATTGGGAAACTGGAGAGTAATAAAGAAAAAAGAGTAAATAGAAATTACATATCAACTAGATCCCAATACAGTACCAATTAACCTCATGCAAAAACACACATTATTATACATACATACATACGTATACACACACACACACACACACACACACACACACACACACACACACACACACACATCTAAACGCTCTCATGCAAACGCACAAACAACCACTTGCACATGTAAATATACACCTACATGCGCACCATACACACACACATACACACACACACACACACACACACACACACACACAAAAGGGTACTCATACACTCACAAGTACACATATACACATACACCCACACATACACATCTAAACGCTCTCATGCAAACGCACATACATCCACTTGCACATGTAAATACACACCTACATGCACTCACATATGCACACACATGCACTCACATGCACATGCACACTTACATGCACGCATGTAAATGCACATACACACACACAGTTATTACATCTGTCCAAAAATGAATAATAATTACTAAAGTAACATGTTCTTGGATACAAGTTCTTCCTAGTGGTCGTTCACTAACATATGTTAGAAAACTGTATCACAAAAGGATGTCCCTAAATGACTAAAGCAATAACAAGTAAACTACCACAAACAACCCAGTTCCACACCAAGCACCAGAACCAGCAATGACACAAACTACCTAGTTAATTATCCCCAAAGCAAAAGTACATCATTAAACGTCATTTAGTTTTCCAGAATTTCCCTACTTACTACTTACTTCTTATCTCTCGGTAGGACATGCTGGCTGTTCCCAATCACCAGGCGGTCTCCTAGTTATGGTCTTGTCGAGAGCCGAGGGACGGAAGAGGGGAAGAAGATAAAACAACGGATGATAAAGGATCGTAGACAGTAACGAAAGCTGATAATTAAAAGACAGACGTGATACGGGTTAGCATCTCTCAATTAACGCATTTACCATTTAGTATTATATATAATGAATAAAACATTTCCTAACCATCCAACTATTGAATTTCATACCCTTAAAAAAACTAAAAAAAATAAATAAAACAAAATCACTAAAAAATAAACATAAACAAACCTCTTCCCCATCAGCTGATCGTGACGTCACGTGTAAACGTTTGACAACGTTGTATTTTGAAGGTAAAGTTTTTCGACTTTATACTGTGTGTTTTGAATATTTTCTTGGGTGTCTTTGGTGTGTTCCGGGAGCAGTGTGTTCATGGACGCTGGTGTATTGTTCTTATTTGGTTTACGAACTTTTAGTTCACTTTACTTAAGAGATAAAGTGAGTGCAACTTGGAAGGTACATTTTGAACTGTATCAGAGGTTTCTCACCGTCTTTTTTATTTACATTCTTGTGTAAATCAATTATATTTATGGCTTTGTGACAATTCATACTCAACTTATGATAATTTACAAACCGACAGCAGTTGAACAATCAGATATATACCGTATCGGTGAATTTTAAACATCCCATACCGGTAAAGTGAATGGTCATTCAATCTCTAGCATCAGTTAATTGTTTTAGAAGTTTAAAAAATCTATATTTATCGACATACATACACATAGGTGTGCACTTAAGCACACACATATTGGCACGCTCACACACACCATGTACATGTGTCACATGCTCATGCGCCTGTGCACCCACTTCATGCAAAAACACATTATTATTATTCATTATTAATATCATACTATTCTAATTTATTCCACCTGAGGAAATTCATTTCAGTGCAAGATTGGAAACTTTATTGTGTTGGGTTTTTATCACCTTTTGCCCCTTTTAAACTGAGGGAAAGACAACTTTGACGGATTGTTGGTGACTGACAGGTTGGCAATGATAATTAACTGAAATGTTGCTAGTTATCACTAACTTCTCAAGCATATTTATTCCCTGTTAATCAGAGGATTGTTACTGTTGAGCCTTTCTTGATATTTTTTCAGGACAGTTGCTAAAAATTAATTTATGACATAGATTAAACCTTTCTCTAAAGTGTTTGAAAAAGGAAATCATATGCCCTGTATAAAACCTTTTATATATATTGCAAACTATGCCACTATTAGGTCAGTCATTGAATATTTTGTAGCAAGTATTCAGGGATTCAGAGTATTATGTTTACTGAGAAATAACCAATTTTACTATTTCTTTCAGGTTTCCAGGCTGTCATTTTAGATGCAAAGTTAAAAAATCTACAATGTCTTACAAACTTAAATTCCTTAAACCAGGTAAGATTACATATATTCCTGCAGATATACACAAGTATTCATTTACAAATAAACACATAGGCAAATAAGCTGTTAAAGAAAATATTATTGAACATAATTACTTATCAATTATATCTACACAATATATATTTGCATTTAATGACAGACTTAATGAAAATTATTTACATCAAGTCCCCTGTTTTATTTATGAAGTATAGTAGTTAACCTTTAATTAAACCATCCAAAATAATTTCTTTCAGGTGATGACATATTTACCGAAGACCGTAGTGATGTCGACCAGACAAGTGGGACTTCCTTTATCTATAATCCCCACCATTCTATGACAATTGATAAACAGCGCCAGAGGTTGCCTGTTTTCCCAGCTCGAAACCATATACTCTATTTGATAGAAAAATTCCAGACCACCATAGTTGTCGGAGAGACTGGTTCTGGAAAGAGTACACAGTTACCACAGGTAATATGAAGGTGAATTGTTGGACTCTGATATGAAGACAGTGTTATTTTTCCTTTTTTTTCCTTCCTTCCTTTTCATTGTTTTAGTTATGTATTTGATAATATTCATGTAAATATTTTTTTTTGAAAGTAATGTTCGTTCTTGGTAAAATAAATCACATTTTCATTATCATCAAATCAGAAATAGATATGAAGTATTAATAATTAACCTTCCTCTGTGCAGTATCTCAGAGAAGCTGGTTGGCCTGTAGATGGAATAATAGGTATAACACAGCCCAGGCGCGTTGCATGTACCTCACTCGCCAATCGCGTCGCAGATGAGTGTGACGTTATATTGGGGCGAGAAGTCGGTTATTCAATAAGGTTTGATGATCGCTGCATACCAGGGACCACACAAATCAAGTACATGACAGAGGGCATTCTAGTTCGAGAGATGATGGCTGATCCCTTGTTGAGACAGGTAGGCTTAGTTATTTTGTTATTTTATTCTCAATGAGTAGAGAACTTTCTGATTAGTGTTTGTAATAGAGGCCTAAGCTGCCCTTAGGCATTTTATCCATGGCTTTAGACCACTGTTGGTCCACCCCAAGTGTTTTGCATCTCATGTAATTTGGCTTTGTAATTTGCTAATGATACTTAAACCTGATATATGATATCTGAATTTGAAGTGTATTTTGAAGCTCTAATAATTGTATCCTCTTTAAAGAGTTAAAGGAATTATTCATCAACCACTTCTTTTACCAGAATGTGAGTTCATCTTTTTAGGCATATATTTTGTATACACTTCATATGGAACCCATATGTGTACTGTATTGTATTTTATTGTATTGATGGCACTCCAATTCTTTCAGTGGTACTTGATTGCATCATGCATTTTGTTGATTCATTTCATATAGCTATTTTGTTCGTTCCCAAAAGTGCAAAATATTAGAAATCCAATTTATGCTCAAAATGTATTAGTATAAGAAGGTATGTACATTCAAAGTGTCTCTGACCAATCGTCCAAATAAACTTTTATGAAATGTTTTGTCAATTTAAACCTTCATCTATAACATGAGCATCAATATATTCAAGTTACTACTCATGGTTGTATTGTATTAAAGTCAAGATATTAATGTTTATGTTACAGACGAAAGCTTAGATTAACAAAATGTTTAAATACAATTGGCCTGAGAACACCTTTGGAGATGAATACCCTCATATATTGTTGATAAGATAGAAAACGGACAGAATTACTCACCATACAATCATTAGTTCAAGTTAGTTTGAAACAGATATCCCCACTCCATTCTAGATGAAAACCTTAGTTGGCAACTAATCAAGCATACTCTTGGGAAAAACTCAGTTACATTTTTGGGTTCAACAGGCTGATTGGAAGTGAAACTACCTGGGTATATGTACCTAGGTTTTGTTAATCTTTGTGTTAAATAAGTTGTGAATAAAATTTCCTTTCTTTTGATGTTAATAAATCCTGTTTTAAAACTTCCAGTACTCAGTAATGATTCTGGATGAGGTGCATGAAAGAACACTGTACACAGACATAGTTCTAGGCCTGATGAAGAAAATTTTAAGAAGACGTCGAGATTTGCGCTTAGTCATCAGCTCAGCAACTGTGGATGCAGATCAACTGTACAATTTTTTCAACTTCAATACAACTAGCAAAAGAGAGAAAGATACAGCAGCTGTTATTTCAGTGGAAGGCCGTACCCATCCAGTTGACATCTTTTATCTGGAAGGTAAAGCAAAGGATTTTTTTGGTACATGCTTTTCTTTCATCATGAATATTAAGTAATGCAATAGAAAATTTGAATAGTCTTTCACAACTGAGAGGCCTATAAATAAATATCACAAGGATGTTTAATATTTGTTATTAGATTATGGGCATTTGATGGTCGTTTTCACTTGTTTCAAACAGTCCTCACTTGCTTCATAGGTTCCTTTATGGCACTTGATCTATATATGCTGCCATTGTATTTTATTCATGGCTTCATTTGTACATTGTATAGTGAACATGTAATTACAATAATGTCTTTATCTTACTTTCAGAAGGAGCAGCTGACTATGTAAAATGTAGTGTTGAGACAGTAATGAAGATCCACAGAAAAGAACCTGCTGGGGATATTCTGGTTTTTCTAACAGGAGTTGAAGAGGTTGACAACTGTGTGTCATACCTAAAGGAAGAAGCTGCTTCTCTCAAGAAAAATGAAGGTGACTTTGTTATTAGTAGTTTTACTCTTATTGCCTTTTGTTGCTATTACTGTTACTAGTTCCATAGGAGGTCTTCTTGCATTGTATTTTTGTAATTTGCAAGCATTTTTTTGATGTACGGGGAATAGAATATTAATTGCAGCAGGTATTGTAAAACTCAAGCAGTGACTTTAAAGTCTTCCTATGTTATGTTCCCAGATGTTTTTTTCATTCTTTCCTGATAACATTACCATACACCCATGCTTTTTCTTTTCACAGATTCTCTGCTTATTTTGGCAATGCATGGGAGTCTAAGTAATAGTGAACAGTTACGTGCCTTCCAGTCTTCTCCTGTTGGAGTAAGAAAAGTTGTTGTTGCAACCAACATTGCTGAGACTTCTGTTACAATTCCTGGGATTGTGTATGGTAAGGTGTCTTTTCTTGTGTACGATGTGTTTGACTTTTTAATTAAGCAAAAAAATGGAATTATGAACTAAATTCTCTCTCTCTCTCTCTCTCTCTCTCTCTCTCTCTCTCTCTCTCTCTCTCTCTCTCTCTCTCTCTCTCTCTCTCTCTCTCTCTCTCTCTCTCTCTCTCTCTCTCTCTCTCTCTAGTTCGTATTTTACTTCAAAATTCTCAAAGAAATTATTCACAATAAATTTCTGCTCTCCTGCTCATAGTGGTGGATTGTGGGTTTGCAAAGCTCCGATGGTACAATGTGAAGAGTCATACGGATTCGCTGGTAGTTGTTCCCACCTCAAAAGCATCTGCCACTCAGAGAGCTGGAAGAGCAGGAAGGGTGCGATCAGGAAAAGTGTACAGGTGAGGTAGCATTTCTTTCAGAGGTTTTACTGCTTTTTTTATTCTATACAATTTTATGATACTGGTAAATATCATAATTATTGTTGCTGTTATTATTAGTTGTTTTTTTTTTCTTCTTCTTCTTCTTCTCTCTTTCTTGCATTTATATAGAGTTGATAACATTTAAAGTTTTAGTTATTTCTAATTTGAATGTTGCTGTTTCAAATTTTCCAATATTGTAATTGATATATATCTTACTCTACAGGTTGTATCCGGAGGAAGAGTTTGACAAGTTGAGTGAAGTCACTCCACCTGAGATGGTCAGAACAAATCTCTCACCTGCAGTTCTTAGTCTCATGGCCTTAGGGATTGGTAAGTGTAGTTTTACATAGATTTTAAGTGAAAGAAAAAATGGGTTTTGGCTAATATTGTAAATTATAGTGTATAGAACTATAATGTAATTAATTTCATGTTTGATAGCACACTATAAAATGTTACCTTTCTCTTCAACTATATGTGCCTTTTCTTTACATTTATGTCTTTGCATTTTCATTTCTTTTCGTATTTTCTGCTTTTTCATCCTGCTTTCTTTTCTTCATCAACATTTCATGTTTCCTGTTCTGCATTTTCTCCCCCATCATCTGTTTTGTGTGCTTCTTCATCTTCTGTTTTTCTTTCTTCTGCTATATTTTCTTCAGCAACTCATGCTTTCATTTCCCTTTCCAGAAAATATGCTCAGGTTTGACTTCCCTTCACCACCTCCTGCCGGACATCTAACAGCTGCCTTGGACGAACTTGTTGCCCTCGGAGCTCTCAGTGAAGATGGCACACTGACCAGACCTCTAGGACAACAGATGGCAGAGTTTCCCTTGCCTCCACAGCTATCAAAGATGCTTCTAGTGTCAGGTTTGTGTGGATATGTAAACACTGAAATGAAATGGAATGAAAAGGGCAAATGAGTAGTTAGGTGACCTGTTTTTTTCTTTCTTTCTTTCCTTTTTTTCTCCTTTTTTATTTCTTTTTCCTTCTTTTTCTGTAACCTCTGTTTGTGTTGGTTTGCTGTGTAATGTGATAATTCACATGATACAATTTTAGTTCTCTTCACAGATTACACAGGAGTTTGTAAATTATTATATCTAGAAAACATTATCCCCAAACAAGCATTAGTTTTACATGTCAGAAAAAACAGGAATTTGATGCAATATATAATATGTAACAATGTCTATTGTAGACTTTTATAATTAACAAATATCTTGTAACCAAAAACACACTTTGGAAGTCTTACTTATGACTTCTTTTGAATACGAGTCAAACTTTAATTTGTTTGTTTAATGTTCTAGGGGATTTTGAATGTTCACAAGAAATACTGTCAGTGGTAGCAATGCTGCAAGTACAAAATGTATTCATAACCCCAAGAGGCCAGGGAGCTCAAGCAAAAATTTGCCACAGAAAGTTTCAGGTAAGTGTGGATTACAAAATAAGAAGTGATCAAAGCAAGAGATATACTGATAAATAGCTTAGCAGAATTACAGATAGATATCCAGAAAGAGACAGCTAAAAATAGAAGTGAAAATATAAAATGGGTGAGCGATATTGCCCTATTACACAATGTGGCTTCAGACCAATTTATAGTTTACATATAGCACAGTTATATTCAATATGTGAAGTGCCAATAGACAGATATTTCTTGTCCATAGGCCTTTGATATACATCTGGTCCTCAAACCTTCTTCCATTACCAAGTAAGAGAGACCAAACTTTAATTTAATTATCCTTTATTTTCATATTCATTCTTCATTAAAGTTAATTGGATGGAATACCTCTCTTTTATTTTTCCAGGTGAATGAAGGAGATCTAATAACATTGTTGAATGTATTCACTGCTTATGTCAAACAAGGTGAATCAAAGCAATGGTGTGTCAAGAACTTCCTTAATCATCGTGCACTCCGGAGAGCATCTGAAATCCGAGGAAGGATGGAGAAACTAATTGTTAATTTTGAAATTCCTCTAAAATCATGTGAAGGTCAGAATACTTTTCTATGATTAAAGTATACAATTGTTGGAATACCAGATATTTTGACCAAATGGCACAAGTATTGATGGTAACATAATTTTTCATTGACATGATACAGGTGGTGTAGATGCAGTATGCAAATGTATCACAGCTGGCATGTTTCCAAATGCTGCTTTCCTCCATCACTCTGGGTCATATAAAACTGTGCGAGGACAACAAACCCTGCATATCCATCCATCATCTATGCTCTACAAAGAAAGACAGCCACAATGGTATGGTTTAAAGTGTTCACCACAATTACTGTTAACAAAGGAAACTCAAGTAACACATAATGTAATAATGTATATCCATATTTATTTATATGTATTTAATGTAAAACTTTACAACAGGTTCTAATCAAATACCTTTTCAGGGTGCTGTTTCATGAGGTGCTACACACATCACGAGTATTCATGAGGGACCTTACTGTCATTGATCCTGCATGGTTATTAGAACTAGCCCCACATTTCTATGAGAAGACAACCTTAAGAAATCAATAAACTTGAAGCTTCAAATAAACTCTTTGCATTTCCTTTTTTGTGTAACATGGTATAATATGACCTATTCTGGATAACTGTGATGGCATTTGTGTTTACCAGTTTCTTGCCCTCACCTTGCTTTCCACACTCACTTACTAAACCAGTTTTGATCTTTGATGTTTGTAGAGCTCAAATTTAAACCAGAAGATATGTCTCATGCTGGTATGTCACAGTTAACTTATAGCCTATGGACAACATGGGGTTCACATCATAGCTAACTTGGTCAAGGCTCTGGGTAATATGTTATTCATGTCATGGCCAACTTGGAAGTGGCTCCAAGCTGTGGGTCATTCATGTCATATTACGATGATGCATGCATTACATTGTATGGTGTTCTTTTTAAGGAACCCTCATGCCTACACCATTCATGCCTCAGGCTTTGCCCGAGCATGAATGGTTTGTGTAATGCTATGATTAGCTGTTTTGTATAAAGGGTGAATTTTAGCAAATAAATAATTTGCCTGCTATTCATGGACGATACCACACATGAAAATATGACAATCTTTTACTGTTGATGTGAACCTCTTGTTTACAAGATCTGTCTCCTTGTATCAATGACTTTCATTGTTTATTGGCAGTCTACCAGTGTGACTGTCTTCAAGTATAACACAAATAAGTACTGAAGCCATGGGGGCAGAAGCCTAATGTATCACTGCATACAGTCTCATAATTCGTAAAAATAAGATTTATGAAAATGAGTGATTTTTAAATTTTTATCCTTCAATAAAACTACATTCAATCATATACACAGTAATATATGTTATTTATTGAAATGGACTCTTTATGTACAAAATTAGGCTACTACAGGTTCAATCTAGCAATGAAAATGCATATCATCCATCTCTGAATATGCAAAAACATTAAAATCACATTTTGCTTACAAGTGACATAAAAAAAACTATATATCACTTCATTGGTCCAGCATGGCAAGTGCTACATACTGGCCATGTCTGAAAAAGAACCCCAGAGGCAATCAGCAGAGCATTCTACCCAGAGCAGAGGCCAAGTGAACCCCATGTTCTTCCAGAAGCATTGCGTTAATAAGCAGTGGTGTTTCAGTGTTGAAAAAGTTACCACTCTTGTAGTAAATATTGGGAGACAGACCAAGATAGACAGACAGTAATAAATCAGTAAATCCTCTATCTGTATGCATAAGACAATAGTAAACCCTGAGATGTAATATTTAATATTGTTGGAGGGGTATAAGTGGTTGCTTATGTGTATGGGGGAGGGATATATATCATCATTATAGAAATTATTTGTACAGCTGATTCAGGGACACAAGGATGTACAATGGTTATTGGGGAATGTGGATTGAGGATGTATATGCTATACACTGATAATTTCTTATCTACTACTTACTTAATTTATTCACTTGTGAAAAGAGGAACTATAAAATATTTCTGTAATTCTATTCTCACAGAGATGCAAGAGGTTTGGTAATGGGAGTAGGTTTGGGGGTAAAATAAAGAAATTTGCCAAACAACAAAATTACTTCCTGACACTCCCAATCTCTGTTTTACAGCAAAAAAAATCCAAATATAATATAGTACATGAGAGTTCAATAAAGAAAGGAAGGGATAGCCAACAGCACACTTGGAGCAAGTATCAAAAAAAACAAATAGTGTCAGTAAAGTACTATAGCAATTTAGAGGTCAGGTCAGTTCTGTTATGGTAATATAACGTCAGTGCAGTATTAGAGCCCAGATAAATAGGCCAGTGCCCATCAGACATTGGCCTGTGAGCAGATATTTCACACTTGGTTTAGCAGCGTTACCAGATCGAGCAGTTCCCAGCAGCCACTGGGTACCACACGGCACACCTATATCATTGTCCACACAGGTGATGGATACATGGCAGACTGAGCTGTGGTGAGGCGTTTATTTATTTATTTATTGAAATTTGTTTACCATGTCAACAGTAGCAGCATATTCAAAATATACCAATAGCATGGGAGGAAAGTGAGGAAGTGCTATATGATATAAAAGGTCAGATGGCACAATGGTAAAGCAGAGTAATGAAAAGTGTTATTTACTTATCTATTGAAAATTTTTGAGCCTTGTCAACATCTAAGGCCATTAGCAATATATTCAAAAAATAGTGATAGCATGAGGCCTGGGGGTAAAGGCCCCAGGTAAGGAAGTGCTATATGACATCAAAGGTCCATGTGTTGCTATGGTAAGGTAGAATAGTGAAAAGGGTTAGGAATAAGTTAATGATCAGCATAAAGTTACAGGTTGAACAGTACTAGAGGATAGCACGGTAGTGAAAAGGGTAGAGAGAGAGGGATCTGAGGAGGTATAGTATAAGGTAAAGGTTGTAAGAATAGGAAAGGGGTGGGGGGTAGTGATTGAAGTGGTTGTCCAGTAAATGCCAGGCAGCAGCCTACACTCATGCTTGCCGACTACCTTCTAAATGTTAGTTTGGAACATTAATTGGTTACAGTGTTTGCCCAGTTGCCACTCCCCATTCATTTGCAGGGGGTCTTACAGAACCCTTTTCTGTGGAGTGCATGTGTAATATCAATTCAATGCTTACACTTTAAGAAGGAAGTAAAACTAGCACTACTGCAATTTAGAGTTTATTAATAAACAAGTATAAGCAATCATGGAACAGAAACTGACTAACACAATTGTACAAAACATACCCACTCAATACAATTGAGACAGCTTTGTTGTGACTATAACATGAGACTAGTTAGTTAATTACCTTCTGAAAGTTACAATTAACTGTCACCTAACAGAATATCATTAAAAACTAGACTGTTCTGCCCTCCTCCATTAATCTGAATAGCAAAATACATTGTCATGTATTGTCTTCCAACAACAGAAGTGAAAATGTTCCAAGGCAAGCTACTCATAGAGTAGACACATAGTCGATTTTAATACGAAGGCCACACATCAAGTACTAACAACAACCCTAATCTCACTTTGGATGAATAATACAAGCTGACAATTATTTTACTTGAAATATTAAAACTGGGTTGCATAGTGCCTACATAGTCCTTTAACGCTATCTGTTATATTTGTAATTTTATATTAATTAAGCCATGAATATTCAAGCCTGGGTTATGCATAGTGTAAAGGACGCAAGTCTTACATAGTAGAGGATCATAGTAAAAAGTGCAACTGAAGTTATTCACTCAGTCTGATCACACATTTGGCAGGGATTGTGAAAAAATACTTTGGTTTCTGCAAACTTTATTTGAAACCCCCAACAATCTCTCTTTCATAGAAAAAAAAAACTATGATCAGGTATCATTTTAAATTGTCGATTGATTTTTTGATCAGGAAAAAGCAGATTTTAGAAATAAGTGAGATATTAAAAAGTGGTGTTGAGAGCATAAGATTGCAGTTTGCCATGATTTCAGATCCAGTAAAGACAACCAACTTCAACATCATAATTCTTCAAAAAGTTGAGCAAAACTAACAGAACAAACAAAAGAGAAAACCTTGAGAGAAAATCAGTTATGATTTGAAAAATAATTTTTAAGAATTTTTATTTATCAATACAAAAAAAAAAAAAGTAGTTTTCTTTTTTGATTGTTACCAAAAAGCACAATGGAAAACATTTTCTCTAGTTCACACCAGAAGAAAAAAAAACAAATGATAACAAAAAAGTCTCAAAACCTATATCTCAAGAGAAAGGAAATTATAAGAAATAGATGAAAAAATATGGTTCCGAAAGAATCTAGAAAGCAGAGTATAAATGTAGGCAAAAAGTGTGCTTCATGGCTTAAGTCTGGGATTTCTTCTTTTGATTCCCTCTCATGCCGATGATTTACCAATCATCATCATCGTCAAGAGCAGCTCGCCGTCGGTCAAACTGCAAGAGAAAATTGGATGTCCTTCCTTAATTTTTATTTACTAAATTATTTTTCAAGTTCCACAGAAATAAGTGCATAACAATATGATAAAAACAAAATAAATAAATAGAAAATTACATAGTTTTGAATGATATCTTGGGAAAAAAAAAATTCAATCTTTCATTTCTCTAAATCAAAAACTTACAGGCAAGCATGCATGCATCTGTGTAGATGAGTGAGTACTTCCATCTGTCTTTCCATCCACCCACTCATTTATCCACTCCTCACTTGCTCAACGTCTCCCTCTCCACCCCTTCACCCGTCCACCCCCTCACTCATCTACCCACTCATTTGCAGCTCTTGTTGCCTTGTTCACACTACATTAATGCACTGACTTGCTTGCAAACCAACCCGTTCATACACCTACCCACTCACTTTAATCCACCAAAATGAAATGAAGTAACACCAAATTCCTCATAACATACCTTGACTGTTGTCGTTTTCTGTGTTTGTGCGTTAACTCTTTCAACAAGGCCAATGAGGTCATTTTCTGACAACTTTCCACCAATCTGACCCGTAGTTGCCATCTGAACGATGACAGATTCGACTTGCTTGCCCTTCTCAGGCTTGGCTACCATGATGGTGTTTACTGTCAAAAAAAGAAAATAATCCTATAAATAATTCTCTACAATAAAACAGAACAGTGACATTTTTGCCTGTCTGCCTACTTTTATTAAGCTCCTCAACTAATTTTCCTGTTGAGTTTTTTTTGCCTATTTAGACAAACAATCACTGCTAACTTTTTTATTTCAATTGCTACTTGTAATGGTTAAGCATGAGAAGAACACATGGGGAGTTCAGCTCTCTCCCACTGGGGACATTATACAAAGAGATAATACCTAATACAGAAACAGAAAATTCAAGCAAAAAAAAATCTTAAAGGATGTAGAATTGAATAACTACAACAGAAATAAAATTAATAAGGAAACACAAAAACCATACTTCTGCTTTACTTATAATCATGAAACCTGCTAAAGGCAGATATCAAGACATTGAAATTAAATCTTAAATAGGTATTTAAAAAATTGTCAAAATATACAAGCCTACACTTACGCCTTGCTCTAGCCTGCTGGTCAAGCACCTGGTTTAGCAGTCCATTGATTGCCTGCTGCTGCTGCTGCATCATCTCCTCCTGCTTCTGATGCTGACCCTATAAAAATTGAGCCCAGGATTGTAATATTTTTATATCATTAGTGAATGTACATGCTTTCAAAATGTTTGGTTCAATGCTAATAATAACTATACTTAAAAAAATAGGTACCTGTAGCAATTAATATGCAACTTATTTTTAAATATATATACTAGCTAACATACTCATGTACAGAAAAAAAAAAAAATAATTCTCAAGAAGTTATACAATCAAATATCTTTTTCTTTTCTACCTAAAAATGTTCATTCATACACTTTAAAGTCATTCACCAAATAAATCAAAATCATTAGGAGAAAAAATAATGTTAAATTTAATTAATGTACAAACTACAGGACTTGATTTTGAAGCTGAAATCACATCAAAAAGCAACAAAAAAAAAAAAAAGCAACAGGAGTGTCCCACAGACACTTTTTGTGTATAAATAAATTCAGAAAACTCGCCAAAGATAAAAATTCATATATATTAGTAATAACAAATGAACAGTGCAAAAATAATAGATGGTTACTAGTAACAAAAGCTCATGTTAAAAAAATTATTTTTTAGGGCAAGGTTAACCCACTCTCACTTCTCAGGTCAGTCTAATATCTACCTGCATAGCTGAAGGATTACCAGGAACTTTGACTCCAAATGGAGAATCCTGCATCTAGAGCACAGACTATGTTAAGTATGAAAAGGATATTCATCACAGGGTACTAGAGACTATGGGATTTCATATGAGCTTTACGACTCATTTTTAAACCAAATGCTTTTGGTTGTCTTCAAAATCCTTGTAACTCTGAATCTACCACACACCTATGCAGCTCATTTCAATATTTGCATGATTATTTGATTATTTTGAAAAAAAATCATTAAATAATAAGTAATCACAGCTCCTCTTTGATTCCACATGTAATATTTTCAAAATGAGTAAATTCTCCAAGCAGCAACAAAATAACAAAATATCTATATTATAATTTCTACACAATATCTAATCATGACAAATTTTTCCAAAATAGTTACTGGAAGAAAAAAAAAAAAAGGCCTTTACATGAAAGTATTTTCCTCGATGAAGAGACTGCTTCCTCAAAATGTTCGTAGAAATCAAAACTGCATTTACTAAACAAAAGGAGGATTACTAAGTCCCTATCACTCCAGCCAGCAACCTCGCGGGCACTCCTGGGAATTCATATTGCAATACGAACCAAAAATCTTCCTAGCCCTAATTCCCGGACACCCAACCTATTATCTTGAAGTCTCTCTCCTCATGGCCTTTTTTTCGGCCTATTCTTCCTTTCTGATGTTATTCTTGCCTGTGTTGATTATTTTCTGACTATAATTTTTACTTTTTAAATCAAGTCCTTCGATTTTTCCTATTTTATACTCAAAATGGGGTAAAGGTACTGACCTACCATTTTGTTCTCTACTATTTATTTTTCACCATCTATTTTTCTTTTACAGGGTTAGAGACTATCTATATTCCTTGGATCTACTATTTTCTTTATATTTACCCTTTTTCTATTGTTTAAAACAAAAATTGACATAAATGACAAAAAAAAAAGTATGAATGCTTAGCTGACTATATCATAGAGACTAAATGCGAACATTTACACATTTTGCCTCAATTATACATCTTTTTCTTCTTCTTTATACTATTACATGGTTTTCTATAATCCAGTAACACAAGCTATAATAATATAATTACTGATCAATACCCTGATACTTCTCAAATTTTGGTACCATTAATCATAGGAAGGGTTACAAAAAATCAGATCAATTTAATATCATAAATGCACCTATATATCTTCAAACAGTAAGCTACGAACATTGTAATAATTCCAAAAAAGGACACATTCACGGGCATGACTAACATTTATTTACAGTTGATTATGAGGAGCTTAAGGCTATAGACCTATAACTAATTCTAATTCTGAAAAGACATATAGTAAGTAATCAAATCGATATTTCAAGAATAGTAGAGCCACCAGTCGTTAATTCTGAAACATAATACAATTAAAATTCACGTCCAGACGGCCTTGACAGCTTCTTAAAAAAAAAAAAAGACCAAAAAAATATTGTGTGTGGGCAAGGAGCGTCTCCATCTCATTTCTGAAAATCAAACTTCTTCTTGCAATTTAGGCTCACTCACTTGCATTCCTTGGAGCTCCTGCATCCTTTTTTCGCGAATGGCAGCCAGTTCCGCGTCGTCACTCATTTTGGCGTTTGGAATTGAGGGGAAAATAAGACAGAAGTCGAGGGTCAGCGAGAGGTCCTTCGCTCCCGAGGTCGCTTGCAC